TAAAGCCAACCCTACTACTCTGCTTAAAATATTTCTTACCCAATGCCAGTAACTCGAGTCAGGAAATTGATGGACGAACTTGTATCATCCTGCCGAATCTTTAAGGGGATAGAAAAAAATAAGTCTAACTATGATTGAGGAATGCTTTGAAGACCCAAATGATCTTATTTCAAACAGGCAGCTAAGAGTCACAAAGAATCATTTCCATTTGCCTGGATAGCCATACAAAAGTATTCACACATAACCTATCTTGCTGTACACATTTGTAGAGAAATGCATGACAGAGTTCCGATCTATTCATAAAGACCAGAAGTGATAAAATTCCACCTGCTAGGGTGAAACAAAACCATCTAAGTGCTTGGGAGAATTTAGGCACAGGAATTCTAGGAAAGAGTTACCTTGTTGTCAAACCTTATTAAAAAACTTTTTTTCTGAGCATTCCTGAAAACAAGGAGTTAATTTAACCATGGATGCTAACAGTCTTGTAATTGGCACATAAAAAGGTGAACATTTTGAACAATATGCATGCATTTTTAAAATAGAACTTAGAAGTCATAAATTCCACTCATTTAGGAGTCTCTGGGTAGCACATATGACTAAGTGCTCAGCTATTAATCCAAAGGTTAGCAGTTCAAATCCCCCTAGAGGCCCTTCAGGAGAAAAGCCCCAGGCAATCCTATTTCTCAAAGGTCACAGGCATTGAAAACACTGTGGAAAATACTGTGGAATACACTGTCACTCTCCTCTGAAACACACAGGGTTGCCATGAGTTGCAGTTGAGCTTAATAAAAGGTGGCTTGTTTAAAAAAAAAAAAAAATTTCCACTCATTTCTCTTCTATCTGAGCCTATTAGCATGTGTGTTATCAATCACCCTACAATGGTACTACATGATAATTGCCAGAAAGGCAGGAACTATAATCAAAGAAGTGAACAAATAATTTAAATATTACCTTTTCTAGTTTACGTAATTTTCCAGTTGCTAAATACTCGTCAATCTTTTCAGCAATTTTTGCTCCTACTCCAGGCTGCATAGAAAATAAAACACAGACATGTACATATATTCTCACCAAATCACTAAAAGATAAAGTGAGAAGTGCAGAGTGAGAAATAAATGATCATCACACAACAAATTTTGAGACACAGGACTCAGAAAAGTGATCCCCAGAAAAATAATTCCTCCCAGAGGCCAAAAATTGACTCAAGAAAGAAAAGCTTAAAAAAAAAAAATCATTCTCTTACGGATGCTCTTTTTAAAATTAAGTTTTAAAAATGAGAAATGTAGCTATGTAGGAGCAGTGAAAACGCACCATTATAAGATCACAATCACCTGTAAGTCCATCACTCAACACTCGATTATATTCCTTAATTCCTTGCTGTCCTCGCAGTTTTCTTACAGAAACAGAATCACACTGCTTTGTAAAGTGCTGCAATTACTTAATAAACCACGAACAATTTCCCATACCAATCAATACATGCAAGGGCAGTATTTTTAAGGGTTGCATGATTTCTGTCTGTATGTGAATGCATCATAATTTCCATACATATTACAGAAAAACCTCTGCGAGCTGGATCTCTAAGGGCTGCCATTTTCCCCCAGGTCCCTCAAGTTTCCCACCTCTGCCAGGATATAGTCCTATGGTTTGGGTTTTTAAAAAATGTATTATTAATTGGGAGTTAATACACACATCATTTCATTCCATAGTTCAGCACATCAAGCAGAATTATACAATTGCTATCACAATCAGTTTCCAAACATTGTGGATTTTTTTTTAATCAATCATCTTATTTGGGCTCTGTTAAGCACACTTGTACGTATGTTGCCATCATTACTTCCAAAACATTCTTTCTACATGAGCCCTTGGTATCAGCTCCTCTTTTGCCCCTTCCCTTCCACCCCCGTGAACCCTTGATCAATTATAGATTGTTATTTTGTGTTTTACACTCTGTTGTGTCTCTGTTGTCACAAGGTATATATCCAACCTTGTGATGGGTTCCCCTTCTCCCCCTTCCATTACCATCCTCCTACCCTCATGATATTGCTACTCCCACTACTGTTTCCGAGGGTTTATCTGTCTTGAGTTCCATGTTTGGAGAGCTCTTATCTGTATCTCTGTGTGTACTCCCTTGTAACCAGATGTGTAGGGTAGAACTGGGTCATGGGAGTGGGGCGGGGATGGGGAAGCATTCAGGCTAGAGGAATGATGTGTGTTTTGTCGGTGCTATACTGCACCCTGATTGAACTGTCCCTTCCTTGTAATCTTTCTGTGGGCGGATGTCCAATTGTCTACAGATGGGCTTTGGGTCTCCACTCCAAATCCCCTCATTCACATCAATAGAATTGTTTGGGATCTTTTGATACCTGAACCCGTCGACACCTGGTGATCACACAGGCTGGTGTGCTTCTTCCATGTGGGATTTGTGGCTTCCTTGCTAAATGGCTGGTTGTTTATCTTCAAGCCTTTAAGACTCCAGACACTATATCTTTTGATAGCCGAGCACCATCAGCTTTCTTCACCACATTTGCTTATTCACCCATTTTGTCTTCAGTCATCAGTCGGGAAGGTGAGTATCCAAGAGTGCCAGGTTATTAGAACAAAGTGCTCTTGTGTTTAGGGTGGCCTTAAGTAGTGGCCCAAGGTCTGTCTGCCATCTTAATACTTACAGACTGGTAAATATATGTACCTTGGCCTCTATCCCTTTCGTTATAAATTAATGTATTTACATATATACATGCCTATAGCTATACCTCTATAAATAGCTTTTGCTTCCTACTTCTTTCCTCTATTTCCTTTCACCTTCCTCCTGTCCCACTATCATGCTCACCATCCACTTGGCTCAGTAATTCCTCTTGGATACATTGCATTTATCAAACCCCACCAGGCCTCCTTGCCATCATTTTTATATCTCTTGTTGTTCCCTGATTCCTGAGTTTGTTTGCTCCCCGCTTCCCTCTTCCTGCCCCCTCCTCTCCCATGTCCCCCTGGGTCTCCCGGTCCCATTGTTTTCTCCTCGGGATTGTTTGTCCTGCCTACCTTATATAGATAGACATAGGGGTGAAAGAAAAACAAACCAACCCCCAAATCTGATAGCTAGTTCCAGGTCTGTCTGCTGACCCTTATGAGTGCTTTCCAGTCAGGTCTGGCGAGGTGTCAAGCCTTGTCCCCCAAGTCAGAAGTCTATTTCAGGATTCCTCGGGGACTTGGCTACTTTGCTCCCTTTGCTACCCTGTTGCACTCCCTTTGCATTTCACCCCGAGTCGGGCAGACCAAGCACACTTTCCGCAGTGTCTCCAGTGCTGCCCCCTAAAGCGCTAGGGGTCAGTGAAGATACGCCATGTCTCGTGGTGGGGTCGACCCTATAGTCTCTCTGTGCATGGGCTGCTCCGAGCAGGTCTCCCTGAGCTATATCTTCAGTCCTGTTTCTAGTGCCTCTTTCAGTGGAAGATATTGGAGTTCTCTTTCCCTGAGAGATTTCTGCCTTAAACAGGGTTTCTGGGTCTGATATCTTGTAACAAAGCTCTCATGAACTTCCAATAGAATAGAGGCTCAAAAAGCTTTACATGCATCATACCATGTGAGGGGATTGCTTAGTCCCATCCGAGAGCTGGAGGCAGAGGTTTGGGCTGGGGTAAAAAGCAGCCTTTCTAACCAGGTCCCAGGTGCTGCTGAACCTGCTGGTCCAGATACCACACTTGCAGAATCACTGCTCTGGAAGGGCCCAGCTCACCAAGGTGGCCGACCACTAGCCACGCCACACAATTTACATTTAAATTAATTAAAATTTAAAGTGTGCAGTCCCACCAGCCACAGTTCAAGAGCTCAACAGCCACGTGTGGGCAGTACTGAAAAGCACTTCTCTAGAACACGGGCTTTGTCCGGTGCTTTGCTGTGCGTTATCCCTAGCAGAGGTGGCACACTGGTGCTCCAAAACTAAGAGCCAATGTACTCATTTCCTGAAGAAAATGCTCTCAGAGTAGAACTGCCTGGTCAAGGGATAGAGAGCCACGTTGTCTTTCAGAGAAGCTGGAACAACCAATGCCTCTATCAACAGTAAATGAGAGTATCCTTCCCAGGCCTTCCACATTTTCATCACATTACACACTATCTTCGATTTTTACAGGTACTGTGCAGCACTGAAGGCACCCTGGTGATGAAGTTGGTTACCTGCAAGGCAAACAGTTCAAACTTACCAGTTGCATCTTGAGAGAAAGATGACACTTTCTGATCTCCTGAAAATTTGACAGACTCAGAAACCCACAGGAGGAAATTCTACTCTGCCCTGTAAGGGGCTGGGAGTCGGAATCGACTCAAAGGCAGTGACATATAGCACTGTGCTTTAATACGCAACTTTGATTATTGATGAGATGGAATTTTTTCATGTTTATTACTCTCGTTTAATTAAATGCTCAACATGCATATAACATGTGTCCCATGATCTCCTACTATTTCTAGTCCTGAGTTCATCTCTCTTATAGACTAAATTTATTTAATGTTCAATAGATGTCAAGAGTACAGAGTGCAAATTCAAATTTTGGAAACAGCAATTACCAGATTGAAATGAGCAAAAGATTAAAGTAGAAGACATGAGAAAAGGGCAGCTGCTTAGGCTTCTTATTTTCTCTATCAGTAAATTAAGAGACAGGCCAGTTTTCCCCTTTAAAACTAGTGCTACACAATCGCTGAAGACAAAATGGGTGCATAAGCAAATGTATGAAGAAAGTGGATGGTGCCCGGCTATCAAAAGACATAGCATCTGGGGTCTTAAAGGCTTGAAGTTAATCAAGCAGCCATCTAGTTGAGAAGCAACAAGCCCACGGAGGAAGCACACCAGCCTGTGTGATCATGAGATATTCACGGGATCAGGTAACAGGCATTACAAGACCCCAAACAAACAAACAAAAACCATATTGTTGAGAACAAGGGGGTTCGGAGCAGAGACCCAAAGCCCATCTGTGGACAATGGGGCATCCCCTCACAGAAGGGTCACAGGAAGGCATGAGTCAACCAGGGCACAGTATAGCACCAATGAAACACAATATTCCTCTGGTTCCTTGAGGCTTCCTCACCTTCCACTATGACCCCAGTGCTGCCTCTCACTGTGGGCTAGACTGGAGCCTGTGCACCGGTAGAGACAAGAGCTTACGACACAGGGAATCCAGAAACAGGAATGGGAACAGTGAGGGCAGGGGAGGTGGGGAGACGAAGGGAAGAAGAGGAGACCAATTGCAATGGTCAACACATAACCACCCTCCCCTCCACCCGACCCACCCCAGGGGGATGAACAGAAACTGTGGGGGAAGGAAGACAGCGGTCGGTGTAAGATGTACAAATAATAATAATTTATAATTTATCTAGGGGTCATGAGGGATTGAGGGAGGGGAAAAAAAGGGGGAGCTGATACCAAGGGCTCAATAAAAAGTAACTGTCTAGAAAATAATGATGGCAACATATGTACAAATATGCTTGATATAATTGATGCATGGATTGGTGTAGGAGCTGAAAGAGCCCCCAATAACATGATCTTTTAATTTAAAAAAATAGTGCTACAATGATTTCCCATCAGTAGCATACTGACCTAAAACCATGCAGGTGCAGGCTATCTCCCATATCTACCCTTAAAAGGCAAAAGGCACAAGGATAAAAGGCAACTATTCACCCTGGAAATACCAGGACTTCTAGACTTGCCAAGCAGCACTCCTCTGTGCTAGGTAGGGCTGTGAGTAACAGTGACAATGAATAACTACGTGATGCTTCTGTTACATCCAGCCTTATGCTGAAAGGACTCGGGATACTTTCTTGATTGATTTAGGGATATGCCATATACTCTCAGATTTGGGACAAAGTGTCTCAGAACTTATTCGAGGTCTGCCTCAAAGAAATGAGCTGGCTATCTGCAATAAACACGACAGGAAGTTCAGTGATGATCCCAAATGTTAAAGGGGTATTATAAAAGAAGCAGGAGTTGTTCTTAAGGTCAGCCCAGGGTCAGTGCACCCCCCCACCAAAGTTGTAATTATACATATTTCTAAAACTTCTAAATCTGCCCTCTCCCACGCAAATAAAAATACTTGGAGCTTGAAAAATTTTGCTTGAATTAGCACTAGTCCTACCCTAACATTAATGCTATTTGGAACTCACGAGACTTACCAATTTCTTTGCTTCTGCGCCACTTTTTATTTTGTGTGGGTACTTTGCTATCACAGATGCTGCTTTTCTACAAGAAAGAAAACCCGTTAGAAATCCAACAAGGTCTTAACTGCTCTCAAATTGGAACACATACATGTGTACACACACACACACACACACACACACACACACACACGCAAATGTTTAGTTCCTATCTCCACCAAGACCTGCATCGCCGAGTAAAACTAAACACTCAGATGAGCAGGCAGGCCACCAATTAGGATTCTACCTTTTAAAAGTATCTTGAAAATTCTCAGATTTGAGATAATCTGGCTTTAACCACTCAAATAGGAAATGTTAGAGAGACCGAGGCCCAGAACCTCCCCTATTTGGGAGTAAGTGAAAGAGAGTCATCCTTTTTTTAGAAGTCAAGATTTTAAAAACCAATCAGAATTTTCATAAAAATGTGCCACCATATTCAGACTACTACATACTTGATTGCCTTATTTAAAATTCATGATTATTTTAAAACTCGTGGTTTCAAGTTGCAACCCGATTACGCCCTTACGTTATGTCTTTTTCTATTACTCCCATTTCAATCAGCATAAGCCAGAGAGTGAGTGACCTGTGGTTCTTGCCGGTCTCCGCACGTATCCAGCTCAGTAATCTGGTGAGACTGGATACATTACAGGAACCTGATAACAGCACCCAGGCTATCATTTTAATGCTAACTGTAGTGTAAAGTTGATGACATTAAAAAGTGATAGTACATCTAAGTCTACGCATAAACAATGAAGTCTTTGGAGCCTGTTTCTTCTGCGATAGGACATATAAACCTTTCGATTTGGACCTCAGATTCTCTATAAAGAGCCATGCTGATGCAATGGTTAACTGTTCCATTGTTAACTGGAAAGGTTGGAAACATCCAGAAAAAAAACCCATGATAAACTGCTCTTATAAAGATGACAGCCCAGCAAACCACGTAGGGCAGCTCAACTTTGTCACACGGGGTTGCTGAGTTACTTGCAGAAAATGCTATCATAAAGACTTACAGGATTAGAAATGTGGAATTTCAGATACCCCCAGGGCTGGTTCTATTCTATCCTATTCTATAGGGTCGTTATGACATGAGTTCGGAATAGGCTGAATGAAATAGCAAGGGAAGTGCCAAGTCAGTTTTGAAAGGGTAGAAATAAAAGGAACATCCGACTAGAAACCCGGAGAAAAGATCCACTAATATGAAATGTATTCAAAGCCAAGAATGGTGAGACTCCAGGGAAGCTATGAAAGTGAGAACAGCGGGCCAAGGGGAGACCTCTGGGACTACCAACATTGAAAACTAAGAAAGAAGAGGAATGCTATCAAATACATCGACATTAAGGGGTGAGCTTGTGGTGAAGGCCATCCACCAAACCGCCAGTAAGATGACGTGCAGGTGAGGATGTCCGAGAATGGAGGCCATCACAGAATGACGCACTCACAGCTGTCAAGTAGATTCTGACTCATTGCAACCCTGTCCAAGAGTGGAACAGCTCCTGGGGCTTTCTGAGACTGTCAATCTTTATGGGAGCGAACAGCTTTATCTTTCGTCCATGGAGTGGCCGGTTAGTGTGAACCACCATTAGCAATCTACTCTCACAGCACCATCCGAGAGAATGCAAGCAAGGAACACAGATTCGTCTTCAAGAAGGTTAACTATAAAGTGGAGGCAAGAGGTATGGTGCTATGTCAAAGAAAGAGTTTTGTTTTTGTCTTAGTCTGAGAGGCTTGAACTTCTTCATATGCTAAGGAGCTGGAGCAGGTGACAGAGTAACAGGCAGAGAGGTCCCTGGTAAAATGGAGCATGGTCCCAAATTAAGGTGACAAAATCAGCCACAGTCCTAGATGGAAAGATGTGATTCCTTAAACTACATAAAAAAATTTACAGCACAGCCCTGGTGCACTGCCTTTCATCAATGCATTCCGGTAATTTGCGATTGATGATAGGGAAAATATGTACTTTCCATCAGAACTGGGAACTGATCATAACTGATTCCACAGAGTTCTGGCCAAGTTTTTTCTGCGACTCTACAATGAGGACGGTCCAAGTATCTACCGGCACCCCCCAACCCTGCGACCTGCCACGTAACACGGCGATACCAGAAGGCGTGCAATCGGCGTGCTGAGCCGGCCCACCTGTAGGCGTTGTACTTGTGGATGGCCTGGCTCACGTTCTTCTCGAAGTTTGCGAGTTCTGAAAAGGCAACAGGAGGCTCCAGTGAACAAGAACCCCGGCTAAGAAACCGGAAGGGACTTTCTGGGTAGGGGGCTTGGGCAGTGACCAGTCTTCTCCAACCCGCCAGGTCGCAGGCAGCCCGGGGGAAGACCCAGGAGCTCTGAGCGGGCCAAGGGCAGATCCATACGAAGACGACCCGCTGGGTCAGGCTGCGGGGCCACGGGCAGATCACCCCGAGAGCCGACCCCCCCCACCCCCCCCCGGGCTGTGGGGGCGGGAGAGGAGGAGGGAAGCAGCAGCCAGCGGAGCCCGGCCCGGTGCTAACCCGTGAGCATGTCGGTGATCCCCCCGTTGAGCGTCTCCTGCGGCGCCTTCCGCTTGCTCATGGTGACCTGCGCCTGGGAACCCCGGGGTCCTACGAGCCCGGTGCCGACGGGACCGGAGCAGCCCAGTCCCTGCCAAGCCGGCCCGACCAGCGGAACAATGGCTGCCGCTGACAGGTGGCGCGGCGGCGCGCGGCGCGCCTGGTGACGTCACACGCACCGGAGGGGCGGGGCCACAGCGGTAGCGGACAGGACCCGGATTTGGCAAAGGAGCGTTGGGTCCCATCCCTGGGGCTGCTACGGGAGGGTCGGATTTCTTAGCTTTAGAGACTTCAGTCGCACTCCCCACCCCCCATATATTTCTCTCGACCTCACGCCCTGGAAGAAGCAGCGCGGGGCTCCCAGTTTGGCTCTGAAATCGGTAAAATGGTGGGGTGAGGAGGTTGGGCTACCGAAGACTGCGCTTGTGGACATGGGGTCTGTGCACTATGACAGTTATTGGCTGCATGACGTATTTTACATGTGCTTTTGTCAAAAACTTTGTAAGACTACGGCTGTGGTGCCGTTCTTACCGCGGTGCAGCTGTGGCATGGGTCGAAATAACGCCCACCACACAAACCAAGCCAGATGCGCTGCCTGTAGGGCTGGTAGAACTGCCCCTTCGGATTTTCAAGGCTGTAAATCTGTCCTGACTGGAGCCCTGGTAGTGTCGTGGGTTCCGAATTGGACTAACTACAAGGTCAGCAGCTCAGAACAATGTGTGTGTGTTTTCATTGATACCACGGCAGGTTCTCCCCCAAATGGCTGATAAATTCAAACTACCGACCTTTTTGTTAACAGCCAAGTGCTTTATACCATACCTTTCTGCCATCACACAAAGACGTGTTTTAACTTGCTAGACAAAACATTTTAGATCTGTCAACCAGTTGGAAAAAAAACCCGAACTTTTTCTTTCCCTGCCTTTTGAGGTATAGATCAAATGATTTTTTAAAGAATGCTACAAAGGAAAAGTGCTTGACCTGGAGTATAGGTTCCCAAACTTATTTGGCCCAGTGCCCTCTTTTGAGAGAGAGAGAAAGAAAAAAAGATTAAGCACGGCTTATCTGGAAATTAAAAACTTTTGCACTATAGCCCATAATCTAGGATAAAGCGTAGGTATCTTCCTTTGCATCCCCCACCCCCACCCCCCAGGTCGCTCCAGAGGCATCACCCACCTTGGGAAATACTGGCCTCGATGAAGAGCAACTGCCATTCCAACATGACGACATCTATCAGGCAAGAAGTCTGCTTGAGAAATGCAAAAGTGACATCGGAGAAGAAGTTTCACACACTCAACTCTGGGAGTTCACACTTAACCGCAATTGTAGGCCACAGCTTTACGTGTAAATAAAAGATTATTTAAAAATAACACACCATTGCCATAAAAATGTGTAGAATGCATAAAGTGACAGGAGGGAAACTAGAAGCACTGATCATCTCATCATCCAGATTAACCACTATTAGTATTTGGGGACATATATTTAAGGTCATCTAGCCCAGTATTTAAACTTTTTTCAATAATGGAATCATGCCTTAATATCATTAGTTTCTTGGATAGCAAGATTGGGGCTGTTTTCTGCTAGTACCAGTATGCATCTTAAATTATCCTTATTGAACGTTTGTATTTCTTGTGAATTACCTATTGGTAGCTTTTGTTCATTTTTCTAATGGGATAATTGTTATTAATTTGTTAGATTTTTATGTACTATTAACCCTTTTATTTGTATATTGCAAACATTTCCCCAATTTGTCTTTTGCCTTTGAACTTTATTCTTGCAGTTTCTTTTTTTTATTCTGCAGTTTCTTAATACCTTGATTCCCACTGTCATTGATAAGTTCCGCATTCTAGTTTTAGTCTCTCACATTTTTTCTTGTCTTTTAGGCTATCATATTATTTTGTTATGTAGAATTATCAAGAAAAATATTTTATTTCCCTTGGTGAGTACAAATTCAAGGAATTGTAGGATCTTTTTTGTATTATGCTCACCTTAAAAAAAACTAAGCCAGACAATTCAAGGATTAAAAAATTCCAGTGTTTGTGAATTTAAGGAAAGCAATCAGTTTTGTCTTTATCTTCTATGTATAATTTTTGATTCACTTAACCACACTCTTGGTCAGTCAAAAATTATTGCTATAACCCCATAGAAACTTCTACTAAACAAAACTATCAAAATGTGAACTTATTGTTTCTCAACATACCTCCCATCTTTAAGTCTAAACCTTTCTGAAGGTGATGTTTCCATCTCCCTAACCCCCTCCCTGCCCCCAATTTCATGCTCTTTGATTTACACCCCACAACAGCAGTTTTGGCATCTTTTGAGGGACTCAAATCTCGTTTCTTTAAAATGTTAGGACCACCAACAAAATAACTTTGAAGGGACAAGACCAGGTGGAGGGGGTGAGGTTTCCTAATGACATTCTCCCAGACAGCCTTGCTACCCTCTAAGGATGCGCAGGTACATTGTCATGATAGGGGGGTTGGAGGGGGGGGGGATCCTCAACACAACGTTGCCAGTGCAGTTTTCGATGTTCTTAAAACTTCTTAATGAGCTCCTGGGATCAGCCTGCGCCCTTCAAGAGAATCTGTCAAGCTTGTGGCATTTCCAAAAGCAGTTGCCATCATCTTTGTGCTGATCTCTCTGGCCCAGCAGACCCCCTGAGAAGCCACTGTTAGGATGGGAACTTTTCTGGAAGGAACACTAATGTGACTCAGACAAGTGGGTTGCTGAGAGAACTTATCGGCAGCCACCCACTGACCACAGTGTTTAAACATGTCTCGTTTGATGCCCCAACGGGAGCCTGAAAAGCAATGCTTTTTGACTTACCCTCAAAGTTTACTTTCTCTTGACTTCTAAGGTACCACATGCTCCAGGTGTTTCTTCCTATCTAGTCATGTGTCCTTGGAGGGTTTTGTGGTGTGTGTGTGTGTGCAGGTTCCCAGCTCCTCCACTCTCCAGCTTTTGTGGGAAAGTGCCTCGGCCCTGGATCCTCTAACCAGTGCTTCCACCATGTTCCTTTCCACCTGGGAAATGTCCTATCTATTTGAAGACTTCGACATTTATATTCCTACCCTTGACCACTCCCTTGAACTCCAGCCTCCTCGATCAGATTGCCTACTGGATGTCTACAGTTGTTTAGATAACATGTCTTAAAGAACTCTTTATTCTTGTCTTGCTCCAATACTCACGACCTCCTTCACTTTTCCCCATCTCAGTGGGGGGGGGGGGGCAAGCCAGGTCTCCTCTTAAGTCCTTCCTGTGTCCCTCTCTGTAGGCCTGGGCATTACTGGTCAGGTTGACTGTGGAGGCCTCTCCTGAGATACTGTAGTGGCAGCTCCTCAGATTAAGGGATCAGGGATGAGGCCCTCCAGGTCCTGCTGTTGTCAGGGCAACGGTGAGGCAGCCCAGGGCCTCCCTTCTTTCTGGAAAGCTACTTACCTCTTCCTGCTTCCTGATGGTAGTGAGGCCTTCTAGATTTAAATGAAAAACAATCTGAGTTTACCACTCTTAGCTGGGTTCCTGATGAGATTCAGCCATTAAAAAGGTAAACTCTAGGCTGAAAGCACAAGGAAGGGGGTGGGGAGAGGAGAAGGAAGGAGAAAGGAAAAAGGTGAGGGAAATTCACCCTAGCCGCCAAGAACTCCCTGCGGGAAGGGAAGCCTTAGGTTTGGGGATAAGAACACAGTCAATCACTGCCCCTCCCGAGCCTTACCTGGCCCCGGGCACTGTACTGAGCAGGTGCTTCCATTTCATCCAATGACCCACTGTGACTTCAGCCTTGGGCAGTGGGTTGGATTGGGCTTTCCCTTTTACAGGGTGAAGGTTGGAAAGGTAATGCCTTGGCAGTTAATGGCGATTTTTCACCCGCCTTTTTCCGTCAAGCCGAAAAGAAACATGCCTTTAGGACTCACACTTTGTTGCTGAAAATATATGTAGTAAAACCAATACCAATTCAGTGATTTCAACGTGCCCATTTCAGTGCCATTGATTACATTCTTCAAATTGTGCACCACTTTCCACCCCATTTTCTGAATCATTCCTCCACCCTTACCCTAAACTACTACTCTCCAGGCACCCCATTTAACCTTTCTGAGGGACTGTGGTCCATGTTGCATAGCGGGAGAACCTCTGCTGAATTTGCTCTGCGGTTGTGTAGAAAGGGGAGTTTAAATGAGGAAGTTGTATGGCTAACTGAGATTGTCAAGCAAAACGAAGGTGTAGCTTCTTTTTGCTGCATATAGTGAAATGCAACAGGAAAAGATAAACCGAGGAAGGAACTGTTTAACAAAAAAGAGCCAGCATTTGATGAGTGGGGAACATCTTTGCCTATCCAGATGGCAAAGAATACAAAGAAGTTCCCCCTTTGAAAAAGCGGGCCTTGGAGAGAGCAAGGGGATAACTTGCACACCTTTAGCTGCAGAAGGCTGACTTAACCATCTCAGCAGAACCCATGAATAGAGATGGGGTTTGTGCCCTTTCAGCCTTAATCCCTTATGTGATACATTATAATTCTGGACTTTATATGCTTGTAACTATAGTCCCAATTTGGAAGGCAATTTCTGCTAAGAAACAGGAGTAGGATGGGATTAAGACCTGACCTTAGCAGAGGGGTCAATCAGGCCACACTCTCTAATGGATAGCTTGGTTACTGTTCTGTGCAACAGCTGTAAAGCATGATATGCTATAGCTGAGAGGAGAAAAGCTGCTTCTGGAGTGGCCTTGGAAAAAGCCTAGCTGATTAAGATTAGGAGGATGTTAATGTCTACTGGAGCCATCCTGCGAGGCCTCATGTCATATGTGCATAAATAAGATACAGTCCAGGAATGGAAAATATTCTTATATTTGCATATTAAAAAGTTGAAGGGTTATATGTTAATTTGATTGAACTACTGCTATTCAATGTACCTCCCAACAGACCACCTTTCCCTGCATAGATCTGGTAAGAATGTGTAGAAAAGATATGACAGGATTCACCTGTGAGTAATTGTGACCAAAAGACGCTATGTCCCATGTCTTTATCCCCACAGCCTATAGTTATTACCTTATATGGCAATTATGTAATCAAGTTAAGGATCTCAAAAGGCATTTCTCTTGGTTTATTTGGAAGCAGGCCTAAATCCAATGGCAAATGTTCTTAAAAGAGACACCAGGAGGGGTTTGAAAGTAGAAGGCAACGTGAAAATGGAGGCAAATACTGGAGACACACAGCCACAAACCTAGGATTGCCTGGAGCCAGCAGAAGAGCAGCAAGGAACACAATCTCCACAAGATCCGCTAGAGAAAGCATGGTCCTGTCAATGCCAGCACTGCTCCAGACTTCTGGTCCCCAGGAACTGAAGATTGGGTATCTGTTGTTTTAAGCCACCTCTTCTGTGGCCATTTGTTTCAGCAACTCCAGGGAACTAAGACAGCTAGAGAAAGGCTTCTCATGGGCTTTTTGCCTTCATTCGTTGGTTGGCTTCTCTAGAACCCAGTTTGGAATATATGAGGGACACACAGACACACACACACCACCACAAAACCGAATCCCAACACACCTTCGTGTAATTCCTCAGTCCTAAGGTCCTGAGCCCGTCTTTTAGCTGTACTTCGCAGGAGGAACAGGGAAAAGCATATGTACTCTGTAACTTTAGGCAGCAGAAGTCCTGCCTCTAGAGTTTTGTTTTGTTTTTTTTTTTTCATTTTAAAAAATCATTTTATCGGGGGCGCATACAACTCATATCACAATCCATACATACATCAATGGTATAAGCACATCTGCACATTTGTTCCCCTCATCATTCTCAAAACGTTTGCTCTCCACCTAAGCCCTTGGCATCAGCTCATTTTCCCCCCTCCCTCCTGAACCCTTGATAATTTATAAATTATTATTTTATCATATTTTACACTGTCCAATGTCTTCCTTCACCCACTTTTCTGTTGTCCATCCCCCAGGGAGGAGGTTGTATGTAGATCCTTGTAATCAGTTGCCTCTTTCCACCCCACTCTCCCTCCACCCTCCCAGTATCAACACTATCAGCACTGGTCCTGAAGGGATTATCCTCCCTGGATTCCCTGGGTTTCCAGTTCTTATCTGTACCAGTGTACATCCTCTGGTCTAGCCAGATTTATAAGGTAGAATTGGGATCATGATAGTGAGGAGGCAGTAAGCATTTAGGAACTAGAGGAAAGTTGTATGTTTCATCGTTGCTACCCTGCAACCTGACTGGCTCATCTCCTCTCCGTGATCCTTCTGTAAGGGGATGTCCATTTGCCTACAGATGAGTCTTGGGTCCCCAATCTGCACTCCCCCTCATTCACAATGATTTGATTTTTGTTTTTTAGATACCTGATACCTCATCCTTTCGACACCTCGTGATCACATAGGCTGGTGTGCTTCTTCCATGTGGGTTTTGTTGCTTCTGAGCTAGATGGCCGCTTGTTTGCCTTTAAGACCCCAGACACTATATCTTTTGATAGCTGGGCACCATCAGCTCCAAAAGAACAAAAACTCATATCATTGTGTGCTCACCTTCCTGATACGATCGCTGAAGACAAATGGGTGCATAAGCAAATGTGGTAAAGAAAGCGTTTTGTTTTTTAATCAACTGGCACATCCCAGCCATATTTTTTTTAACCACTGCTTTAGTCATGCCATTTTCTTGCTCAGAATTCTTCAGTGACTCTCAATTGCCTGTAAAAATTCTTGGCTCTTAGCCCAGAATTGATTTCCTCTATTCAGTCTACTTTCTAGTCTGATTTCCTGCCATTCCTTCATTAGTATTTTCAAAACCATTTCATCAAACTCCAATTCTTTGGATAACTGTTGTATACACACACAGAGAAATGATTGAACAGAAAAGGTTCCTGTGGTTAAATGAGCTTGGTAGACAGTCAAGTTTTACCAAGGTAAACCAGTTTGTATTTCACAGGACATCTTTGAGACTTTAATACACCAGTGTACAATGTGACTCCCCAGAAGGAATGACGGCCTGAGGCACGTCCTACACTCAGTTTCCCACAGTGCGCTTTATTGTTTCTGGTGAGACTCCCCTCCTTCACTGTTCTTCCTCAACCACACTCACTCACGATCATCTGAACTCACTTTGCTCTCTAGCTTTTATGGAAAGCAGTTTTGTAGAATGGTGCAGAAGACATACTTTATGATCCGGGCACTATTCAATTTTATAAACATTCCCATTAAGTTGGCTTTTGAGTTCAGAAATCCTGATCATGTGCATTATAAATGATGGATTGTGGAACCCAGTTTAAGTGTCGGCATCATGCTACAAAATCTAGAAATTCACTCTTAAAAGAAATCAATTTAATAATACTGCTGGATGAAGTGAGAGGTAGGGACTCCCCTCGGCTTGCGCCCCCCACACTAATATGTCTGAGCAAGGACAGGGAGGTGTGGGCATTTGTGGTCAGCAGGCTTGTGGGTGACAGGCTGTGTTCCCTTTCCTTCTCCATGGCAATATCACTCCTGGGTACTCACAGACCCAAAGGCAGGCAGCTGCTTTTCCCGCCTGGCTCCAAAGCTCAACATTACTACTGCCTTCCCGAAAGGAGGATGCCACCAAAGGAGTACAGTCAAGGTAGAATTCTAGCAGCGGTGAAATAAAAAGGGGAGGAGGGAGGATTGGGGCCAGGCCAAATCAATGATTTAAAAGTCTGCTTAAGAGAACCTGAATCCAGATGAAACCCTTAGCTGCAAGATGAGAGAACAGGTGGATCAGGGCGGCTGCTTGGACGGGGTCAGGTGAGGACAGGCTGGCACCAAGTGCCATTTCGACTGTTCTGAAACACCCAGTTGGGAATTTGTCCAGTGGTCTGTGGGGCAAGCAGTATTTTGCACATTATTTCCGTGGCAGAGGAAGTGCTGCTGTGGCTCTGTTTCCCTGAAAGTGCATGACTTGGCATCACAGTGTGCCGGGCCTCAGTGATGGAGGACTTCCAGGTGTGCCGACAAGGTGTCCAGCCATGCCTACTGCGAGCCACATCCTCGATTCAGAGTGTCACCACTGTGTGGGAAGTCAGAAGGTCTCCCTGTAGGTGCACAAGACTTCTGGGACATCACTGTAGCAGGGACTGCAGCTGCAAGAGAGCCTCGGTCAGAGAGTCCCGCATCAGGTGGTCCAGGCCACCCACAGTCACGAGGCCTGCTCCAGGCGATTCTGCTCCTCTTCCTCTGTTTGTAACCAGCTCCAGTCGAGAGTCTGGAAGTCAACAAGGATGTTCAAAACATAGCAGTCGTCAATGCACCTCAGGTGGTTTTTCTCCTCCAGGAGGCCACCAGGTTCAACTTAGGAGTACATTTAAACCCTCTTAGTAACAGGGCACCCTTGAGCTTTTAATAACGGAGCTCCCTTGTGCTAAACACCTGCACATTTGCAAACATACACGAGCATTTCTTTGGACTGGCTCAGAATCCCTGAAACTCTGTGATTAGGGAAACTGAAAAAAATCATTTTAATACAATTATAGCCATGCAGTTTTTTTCTATGCTCATTGTGGGTAGGTAGTACCAAGAGTTAATCTAAGCTATTCATTTCCAACCTCAGCAGGTGAAACGGCCCGGTGACGCCATTTCACCTTTCTTTTTCCCTCCTCTGACCCAAGTGCAAACCAACAGTGAAAAAATATATATATAATGTTAGGAGGAGGGAGAGGATCAGTAAGAGCTACAGAAACCCCCCAAACTAGAGAATGACCCTTGTTTAAATCAGAGGCAACTGAAAGTAGCCCTGGTATGCATTCCCCTACCTCTTGTGAGCATGTTAGCCGTCAGGGAAGAGGCTATGAGTCCATGATTACATTAGCAGGAAAAGGTCATGTAAAGATCTAAGGGAATGATTTGGGATCTTCTCAGCAATTCAGGTTTTGTCTTAATGGGCTTGCATCTTGACAAAATTTCCTTCAGGCTTGCCTCCCCTTTTAAGTAGTACTACCTACTGCTCAGCTCTGAGACCCTGAGGGGCAGGGTCCGATGGAGTCCAGCACAGTACCCAATACACATGGGAAGTCGGCGATGGTACCAAGTCTGCAGGTGGGGATGGCCTTCTGAGAGTGAGGTTGCTTTCTTACATGCTATAAGGAGACGATGCACATAAAGCACCTCTCGGCAGGTATCCAGCAAATGTTAGCCATTGTTAAGGTGGCAGTTGCTCAGTGCTGTTGAGTCGTCCCCACCCACAGTGGTTCTTTGTGCAACCCAACAAAGCAGCACTGCTATGCTTGGGCCTACTGTTGCAGCCACTGCATCAGTCCTCACCGAGGGTTCATCGTTATCAGTGTTGTGGAGAATACGTGCGCACGAGAAAACCCCAAGAGCACACAGAACAAAGAGAACACGGAACTGCCTTTCTGTTTTCTTTTGCGCTGGGAAAAACGCGAGCTGTTACCATGAAACTCTGGTCCTGGTCTTTCAGGGTGTCTTGCATGGCCGTTTCCAGCTGGGTACAGAGAGTATGTGCTTCGGCCACCAGTTCTTCACTACAGAAAACAATCACACGGTCAGAAAGAGGTCCTGTTATTTGAGCAGAACTCACCTGTTGCTTAAAGGCATGCTAAAAGAACTTTTGAGGGGCCTTAAAGCCCCATGTTTCTTTTAAAAAATCTTTTTATTTGCAGCTCATACAACTCTTATCGCAATCCACTGTGTCAAGCACATTTGTACATTTGTTGTCGTCATCATTCTCAAAACATTTGCTTTCTACTTGAGCCCTTGGTATCAGCTCATTTTTTCCCCTCCCTCCCCGCTCTACCCTCCCTCATGAATCCTTGATAATTGATAAATTATTATTATTATTATTTTGTCATGTCTTATACTGTCTGACGTATCCCTTCACCCACTTTTCTGTTGTCAGTCCCCCAGGGAGGGGGTTATATGTAGATCCTTGTGATCGGTTCCCCCTTTCTACCCCTCCTTCCCCTTGCCCTCCTGGTATCTGTTCTCATTATTGGTCCTGAGGGGTTGATCTGTCCTGGATTCCTTGTATTTCCACTTCTTAACTGTACCAGTGTACACTCTCTGGTCTAGCCAGATATGTGAGGTGGAATTGAAAGCCCCGTGTTTTTAATCAGTGGTTTCACTGAGCTAGTTAAGCATTTTTTAACTTATAGTTCAAAATGTGAAAATGCAAACAAAGCTGTTTAATTTTTTTAAATAAACAAACTTTCTGATTTAACAACTCAGCTCAATTAAGTTCTTACCTAAAGTTCCAAAAGCTAAAGATAAGTATCCCCAAGTTACTTGCTTCTCATTTTTGAAAAGGGGGTGGGAAGAAATGAAATAATTTCCTAAGCTTACATAATTCCTTGGGATGGCCTGAGAAAGTCATTTGGGGAATTTATTTCATTTAATCCAATCTCTCCTTTTTATTATATGAAACACATGCTTTTGACTTACTGGACCCATTGAGGCTGGGGAACCCCACATCTAATGACAGGAAGTAATCTTTGCGCCTGTACGGAACCTATCCACAGTTAGTCAACAGTTTGGCCCGATACGTAGAGGACATTGGCCTTGAGCACAGTGCTCCTATAAATGCATGCGAGTGGACAGCAGTTGATCTGGAGCAGACGAGAACTCTAAGGGGCAGAGAGCCTAATGTAAGGGTGATGAACATTTCAAGGAAAGGACAGCACCACAGTGGGAAGACATTGTGAATGGGTATGTATTTGGTTATATATATTCCATGTCTCCTGTAGGGAATGGGCTATTGAAAGAATAAAAACAAACACAACTCCCGGCCACTGAGAATGCCAACACATGGCAACCCTACAGGATGGGACAGATGGCCCCTGTGGGCTTCTGAGACTGTAACTCTTGACGGGAGTAGAGAGCTCCATTTTTCTCCCTTGGAGCTGCTGATGGTTTAGAACTGTTGACCTCGAGGTTAGCAGCCCAACATGTAACCACTACACCACCAGGGCTCCATAGAAAGTATAATACACTGTCCACTCTCCTTTTCTTTTTCAGTTGCGTAAGGCCTTTCCACTGCCCTTTTCTAACCTCAGCTCTAAGGCATAGAGCGGGGTCCTCAAACTATGGCCCACAGGCCAAATGCGGCCCACTGAGGAAATAATTTATCTGGCCCGCTGGGTGTTTTTGCCACCGCTGCCTGTCCTGCTTAGCAGCCAACTTGTCCAGTGTGCATACGAATTTGTTCATAGTTTTTTTAAAAAACAATAGTCCAGCCCTCCAACGGTCTGAGGGACAGTGAACTGGCCCCTTGTTTAAAGGGTTTGAGGACCCCTGGCATAGAGGGTCAAGAATTACGCTGTGGACCCACTCTTTTGGAGCTTTGGAAATACCAAGGAGCGAATACGCCAAATACAGGAAGGCCGAGACCTAGAAGAGCGCTCACGCTGTAACAGGGCCCACTCTGAGGGAAGGGCGACAAGCACATTCTTGCTTGGCCTCGTGGAGGGGGCTGTCAGCCAGAGTGAAGGCTCAGTGCCGGCTCCAAAGGGCAACCTGGCAGACACGAGCAGGTTACCGAGCCTAGAACTCACGGTAGGTTGGGGAGATAATGGGCAGCCTCAAGACCCCATGTGATTAAGCACCCAACGCGCTTACGTTACCAGCTTCCTTCAGACAAGAACTGCATTTTAGAAAGAGCTTTGATTGACACTCCCTCCCATAGTATAAAGGTCACCCTCGTCACGTATAAATTCAACGGCCGTGGTATTTAGAGAGTTGTGCAGCCATCGCTATTTTCATCACCCAAAGAAGGAACCCCGTACCCCTTACCCATCATGTCCCATCGCCCTCCCTCTGCCCTAAGCAATCACTAGTCTACTTTCAGTACCAGTGGTACATAGAAGGTACTGAGTAAGTGCCGGTGGGACTTATCTAGGCATGGAGGTCAGGAGGTCACTGGTGTCCTTACAAGCTTTCGAGGCAATTTCGACTCTAGCGACCTGACCCCACGGGACAGGGTCGAACTACCTCTAGGGTTTCACCAGGAGCATCTTGTGAGGGCTTTCTCCCATTGAGTGGGTGAGTGGGGGCTTGACCCACCAACCTTTCCATTAGCAGCCAAGTACCTCACTATCGTGCTGCCCAAACTCCTGGGAGGAACACTGCATTTTCCAAAGGAGCAGTCCCTGGATTCCGAATGAGTTCCTTTCCAACTCTATCTTTTTCAGTTGAATTTGTAAGTAAGGACAGCCAAGTGCAGTTCATAACTAAGATCAGTTAGTCAAATGTTCATCTTAGTACACAGCAAAGTGTGTCTTGTACCTTTCTGTGCATACAAAGCATTGAAGAAACACTCCCAGGTACACTAACACATCTTTGCACATAAGAATACAGTAAAAATGGTGTTCTGATGTGTGTTGCAAAGCAGCCCCCTTGGTGACGATGAACCCCTGTAGGTACCTTGAAGAACAGAGACTGGTTCACAACTCTGGGTTGCATGCCAGTCTGACGTCCGTCACCCAGGGGCTGCCCGTGCTGCACTGGGCACTGCTAGCCCTGCCTTACCTCTTCTTGACGGACTGAGCTAAGCTGTCGGGGGCAGGGGCAGGCTGTGACATCAGCTGGCCAGGGTGACTGAGGCGCGACGCGTTCATGCTATCTGGGCTTCCACTGACAGGACCGCGGACCTTGCTCTGAAGGACAAAACCAGAAAGAGAGTCGCCACCACGGTGGAAGAAAGGGGGTTCCAGAGAGTCTCTCTGGGAGTTGGCTCCAGCTGATGGCAGGCCCACAGGTGCCGGGCAGAGCTGCGCTCCGCAGTATCTTCGTTGTTGGCAACGTTTCACGGAGCACTGGGAGAAGGTTTGAGACGATCCCAGCCTCGCTTCATGCCGGAGTGTTTTCTGTGCAGTCATTTGGCTGTAGGGCACTAGCGGTTCTTCCAAAAAAGATCGGTCAACATCATGAACTAAGACAACTGCTGAAAGTAGAAGAAGGGGTTCGGGGTGGGGAGGGGGTACAGTGGTGGTGGTGGGGTAAAAGGGAGCCGATGTCAAGGAGACCATGCAGAAAAAGAATGTTTGGAAATGGATTTTGGTAGCAATTGTACAATTCGACTTGACGTGATTAAATGATGGAATGATGTATGTATGAAATCGCAATTTTAAGGGAAAACAGACAGCTGCTGATACTTTGCATGCCAGCTTACAAAGTGTTTCTGAATCTACAGGTGTCCTTTTTTGAGAAGGGATTCCAGAAACAAGGAGATTGAATGCTTACAGCCTAGGCTTTACTTCATTCGGTTTTTCCTTACTTTACTCTTACAAGAAGAACGAAGGCACTCTTGTCTTTTTACAAGCGACAGACTGAGCAACACACGGGGAAGGCTCGGAATGACTTCCCGGGAAGCACACGTCTGGGACACAGCTGAGAAGCAAGCCGAGCTGCTGCGACTCCTGACCTGGTGCGGAGTTCCTCCCCCTCCAAGCTCAGATTTTAAACCAACCGCTGCTCCTGCCCTCTTCTCCAGCCATTCCCACCTGCACTCACTCCCGCAGCCCCACACACCCGGGCTGCCAACTTCTCACCATCTAAGACTGCCCCACCCTCCTCTGTCCCCTCACACATGCCTGCCTCTCTCACGGAACTTGGTCTCTGTCCTCACTGTCGACCCACCCCTCTTCCCTCCATCTGAGGAAGCCCTCTTGGCTCCACCGCCTCCAGCTGAACCGTCAACCAGCTGTTCAAGCACCCACCTCTGCCCAGTCCCTCCTCCTCCTGCTGCACCTTCCCTGCCAGGTGACAACCGTGAGGTGACCCAGCCACCTACCTCCTCCCTTACATCCTGGTCCCTGAAGACTGCAGAAGGCCACGTCCTATGCTATCTACCCTCTCACACTCAGGCTAGTCCCCTCACCAGCACGCCCTCCTTCTCAGTGGGGAGACGGCCAAAGTCTCCCATCCAGTCTCTATGCTGTCATCCCAGCAAGTCCCTCAAACTCAAATATGGCCTCTCACCCCGCTACTTCACTTCCTTTGATGAAAAACCACACCACATGCCCCGCCTTGTCTGCTCCGGCCTTCACGATGTAGCACGTCCTTGCCCACCTCTCGAGGCTCATCCCGCCGGGACCCACAGCAGAACACACCACTGTTCCGCACCTCCGCACCGTCAAGAAATCAATGCTCTCGTCGCCGTGTGCCCCCTAGCTGACTCCACCTCGCTCTTATTACTCTTACAAGGAAATGCAGAACAAAGGGACTCTTGTCTTTTTCGAGTGCAAACAACACTCCTTGGGGACATTTCCTGCCGTCTCCTCAGAACAAGTGTCCCTCCTCTGCATTCACACAGTGGCACGTGTGAGCACTTACTGCATTTGCTGGATAGTATTTCCTGCCTATAATTGCTATCATTCATCTCCTCTGTGCCCTTCCCCAGTTTCGAGCTCCTGGGGCTGGTGCCCCGCTCTCCTCCCATTTATCCCGTTCATTATGGTGGGAGCCCAAAGGCAGTGGCCACTAAATGCCGAGGGAATGCAGGCGGCAGACCAGCCGGCTGTGGACACCCCAATCACCCTCTCTGATCTTCTCCCTGCCTCCTTCTCCTCTTCTCACACAGGAGGAAATGCCCTCCTGCCTCTGCTCCTCCCAGCTTCTCTGGTCTTGAGACCAATGCTCAGTCCTTGTTGCCACGCTCTGTGCTTATATGCTCTCCTTATGTGCCGGTGCCTTTGCTGGCCTGCAGCCACGCTCCAGTCGCTCTCGTTTCGTCCTCCCACCGTGGGCAGCCGTCCTTCCCTTTGGTCTAAAATTCCCAGAACAGTGCCCCCTCTTTGCATCCTGGCATCTGATGCCACCACGGCAGCGTCTTTGGGCATCTGCTCTATTCATTCTCTTCTGCCTCTCTACAGCTTTGACAGCAAGGGTCACGCTTCTCCTCCACTCTGGCTGCCCGCCTCTCCACCTGGCTCCTCTTACTCCATCCTTGCCTCTCTCTTGGATTCATTTCTCCCGGAACAGTTTTTTTTCTTTCTTTTTTATCATTTTACTGGGTGTGGTGGGGCTCTTATAAATCTTATGACAATCTATCATTCAATTGTATTAAGCACACTTGTACATATGTTGACATCAACATTTTAAGAACATTTTCTTTCTACTTGAGCCCTTGGTATCAGCT